TGAGTGCAGGAGAGAGAGAGATGCAACTGAGAGAGCTGTTTGGGGTTGAGTGGCTATTTCAGAGAGTTCTGGAGAGTGACATGAAGGCTCAGTCAGCATAGGACAAAATAAAACAGAAAGGGCCTTGTTTTCCAAGTGCTGGGGGAAGCTCAGGGGAGGAGAAAAGCAGGGAATGGGAACTGACCCTTACTGAGTGCTTGTTACAGAACAGGCAGCTTAGAGGGCGCTTTTCATAGCTACTTATGTCGGCTCACAAGGCGTCATGATTATACTCCCGACTTAGAGATGAGGAAACTCTAAATTAATGTACGTAAGAGCACAGAGCCAGTGAGACAGGATAAAATGGATTTCAGAGTTTATATTCTTCCTTCTATACCAAAAGTTTTTGGTTATAGCCTAGATAGAATCAAAAAAGAATGCAGAAGTGAAATTTAGAAAAAAAAAAAAAACTCACTGACGAGCTGTTCTCTCAGTACTTTCTTCATTCTCTCATCTCTGCCCACGGAACTCTGCGAAGACTTGGCCAAGAGAGGGGGAAAAATGAGTGCAGGAGAGAAAGAGAAGCAACTGAGAGAGCTGTTTGGGGTTGAGAGTTAAATATTGTTTTGTTTGTTTTTTAAATATTTTTATTTATGCATACAGAACTGGGGTACAGGCCAGAGGTGCAGGAGTATGAGAGGCTTCACCAGAGACAGAGTGGGGAGCAGAACAGGCAGATCAACGAAGTACACTGCTGAGGGGAGCAGCGGGCGGGTCAGGAGAGGTCTGCTGGGGTCAGCTCCGGGGCTGGGGATGGAACTCGCACTGAAACGGCTTCGGCTTGCTTGCACTGCTGAGCTTTAACCCGCTGCACCACCAGGGAGGGCCATGAGGGTTAAGTATTGTTAACACCACCAATCAGAACTGAAAAATAAGGGTAGACACACATACACACATACCTGATCTCTCATCTACCCACCTTGTTACCTATGCAGCTATCTATCTTTCTACATCTATAGATTCTATCCAGAAGTCCTCCATGCTGTAGGACTAATCCAACTAATTGACGTTAGTGGAGGAGTTATTAGGAAGTATGAAGACACAAAGAAGAAATGAAACTATTTCATTCCACAAACATAGGTGAGGGAATTCCCAGTGATGACTTTTTGTCCTGTGAAGAGGAACCAGGGGACAAGGGGTTGGGGGAGGGATGTATGTGAGGATGAAAGAAAACCTATATCCTCCTTTTCCAAAATGGGAAGTAAAGAGATAAAGGTGAGCACTGAAAACTTAGTATGTAGCAACACAACATGTTACTGAGAGGTAAGTGAGATCGATGCAATAAAACTGGTTTTAACAGTTGAAGTTTATCACTTCTGGGAGCAAAGACATGATAGGCCAGGGGGTTGGAGACTGGACATTAATTTTAGAAAATCTTGTACAACTATTTGACTTATAAACTATTTGCATAATATGACTTTGTTTAAATTAAAATCAGCCAGCATTATTTATCCACAGAAAACAAAAACAGTAACTTGAAAAGATATATCTATCCCCATAAGTATTGTAACACTATTTACAACAGCCAAGATCTGGCAGCAGCCTGTCAATGGATGAAAAGATAAAGAAAGTATGGTGTATATGCACAGTGGAATATTATTTAGCCATTAAAAAGATTGAAACTGGACCTCCCCTGGTGGCACAGCATTAAGAAGCTAAAGCCACTTCAGCATGAGTTTGATCCCTGCCCCGGAGGTGACCCACAAGGTGACCGCCCACTGCTCTCCTCAGCAGTGTATTTTGTCAGTTGGCCTGTTCTGCTCCCCTCTTTGTCTCTGGTAAGCCTCTCACTGCCCCGGCACCTCTGGCCTGTACCCCAGTTCTGTATGCAGAAATAAATAAATTTAAAAAAAAGTGAAACTGCCATTTCCAACCACATGAATGGACCTCGAGGGCATTAGGCTCAGTGAAATAAGCCAGCTAGAGAAAGAAAAATACCCTGTGATCTCACATGTGGTATCAAAAAGAAAAAAACCCAAGCTCATACATACACAGAAAATATTAGTGGTTGCCACAGGTAGGGAATGGGGCAGTGGGAGGAAAGGGAAATGAATGAAGGGATGAAGGGAATCAAAAGTTTTTTGTTGTTGTTGTTTTTTTTTAAAGATTTGTTTGTTCATAAAAACTGGAGTACAGGCCAGAGGCTCAGGGGAGGCGAGAGGCTTCACCAGAGACAGAGCGGAGAGCAGAACAGGCAGACTGATGAAGTACACTGCTGAGGGGAGCAGCGGGCGGGTCAGGAGAGGTCTGCCGTGCCATGTGGTCACCTCCGGGGCAGGCGGGAATCGAACTCATGCGGAAGTGGCTTTAGCTTCTCAGTGCTGTGCTTTAACCCGCCGCGCCACCAGGGAGGGCCGGAATCAAAAGTTTTTTAAAAGAAAAATAAAATTAGAAAAGAATGAATAATGCTCTTAGCTAGAAAGCACACGCATGCAGTTATGTAGAAAAGAAAGAGATTCAGTTCTGGGTAAATGGCATGCCTTAACTGGCCCCTGTGAGCCCAGGGCCATTGTGCTTCTGTTCTTTCTTACTGGAGCATTCATTCCTCAGATCCCTGGTGTCAGTCTTCGTCAGCAACATTTCTGTCCAGATCACTCTGGTTTTCTCCGCAGCTTGCATCACAATTTGCAGACCTCATGTTTATCATTAAATATTCTTTTTGCTTGAGGTTTTTATGTTTCCTTCACTACGTACAGTTTTGGGAGGTGGAGACTACGGCTATTTACATCACTCCCTCACCTTCACCTCCACCTAGAGAAACAAGAGGGGCTCACCTCTTGTAGCTGATTGATAAAGGGGTGTATAAATGAGAGGAAGGTGCCCCGATTCCTGACTGCAGTGGACCTGTTCCGTTGAGCATCGGTTGGCGGACATTGCCCCATTAGTCAAATGAATAAGGGCATTCCGTTACTTTTGGGTTTTGGTATTTTACTATAAAGGAAATGTAATTTTTATTTTTAATTTAAAAATTTTTAAAGATCTATTTATTTATGCATACAGAACTGGGGTACAGGCCAGAGGTGCGAGGTGGGGGGTGAGAGGCTTCACCAGAGACAGTGGGGAGCAGAACAGGCCGACGGATGAAATACACTGCTGAGGGGAGCAGCGGGCGGGTCAGGAGAGGCCTGCTGCGCCCTGTGGCACCTCCAGGGCAGGGATCGAACTCTGCTTTGGCTTCTTAGTGCTGTGCTTTAACCTGTTGCATCACCAGGGAGGACCATTAATTAAAAATTTTTAAGGGAGGTCAGAAAATTCATAGTTGTCACCTCCCAGTCCAGGTACTAGGCCATTTCTCTACTAACGGAGGGGAGTGGGCTCTGGTGTAAAACAGAACTGAGTTCTATTCCAGCTTTGAGATTTACAATCGTGCTACTGTGAGTAAATTGCTGAATTTATTTAAGCCTCAGTTGCTACTTAGTAAAAATGGAATATGAGTATCTACCAGATGAAATTATTGGGTATTAGAATGCAGTATGCGATACACAGTGTGTACCCCCAAAAAATGGAAAGAGGATGGGAGAGTGGACCTGGAGGCAGTCTGTTCAGAACTCTGTGAGAAAACAGAGGGGCTTATGGGATGGGAAATTTAGGTTACTGGTCAGAGGGAATTAGATGTCTTCAATATATAAGTGAAATGATATGTTTATTATCTGTAGGAGAAACCCTGCAGATAAAATACAGGAGAGGAGGGCACTGTTGAATGTCTATTCTAAAAGAATCTGAAGAAATTGGATCAAATTAAAAACCTTTTTAAATGAGAGACTACTTATGTTGCAACTAGAAGGGGGAAATATGTGAGGGCAGTTACATAAATATGAAAGATCTGGAACTTTTCCTAGAAGTTCCAGTGTTTCCTGGGCAATGTACACATAATGAAAAAGCACACTTCTGGTCAAAAGAAGACACTTTCAAAGACTTTATTAAACATTAGGGAAGAGCTCTGAGAAGCCCCTGTTCAAGGCTGCGTCAAATTCACTTTTAAGCAGATCAGCACAGCTGGAGACAAGACATATCGATGGTGCCTTCTGAGAACCAACTCATTCTTCTTTCTCTGAAAATGACTCACCCCTCACCTCAAAGGGGGGGGGGAACCTTGTCCCACTGGTCACAGACCACTGGGCTGGGCTGGACATCTGCCTCAACTTTGGGCGGTCATTTGTTTTTCCAAAAATTTTAAACTGTGACTAGGAGTCGGCCCATAGGAAGTCAGGGCTCAGGTGCTGTAGGATGGGCTCGTTAGTTGAACGGACAGTCAGAAGAAAGTGGCTGCCATCACAGGGTGTTGAGAGCACAGATCATGTGGCCAGAGAGAGCAAAAGGGGCTGCTGCTCCCCGTTCTGCTGCTTTCCAGTTCTGAGTTCTGTTCCCTGTGAGGCCTGACCAAGGCCCATTCTCGGGCTCTGGGCACCACTCGTGTGTAAATATCCTCCCTTTCGTCAGCGACTGGACCAGGCAATCTTCCTCCATTTCATCAGCCTTCTTTTGACCACACAGTCTCCCAACTTATTCTCTCTTGGGAAACCCAGAGCATGCCCATAATCTCCTGATAGCTTTCTTTTCTAGGGCTGAATGTTTGCAATTCAGACCCCCAGCTTGACGTTACTCCCTTATATGGTTGTGTGTGTATTTTAGGCACTGTCCACACAACCAGAGATCACTCAGGCGGATCCCCCTTAGATCTCCCTCTTATCATATACTCTGCAGGTCTACTCTGCTACCCACTGCCTGACGTGACTGACCCAGGCTGAGGAAGCAACCACCTATCTAAGCCTTGAACCTCCGTCATGCTTGGGACTCTAGGTAGTGTAGAATAAAGGGCATGATATCGTCACCATGGCTGAGTGCCAATGCCCTCTTCCTTCCTACCAGGTAAATTCAGACAAGATCGGAACTCCAGTGAGAGGGTCCTCTCCCGGCACATTTCAGAACCTTTGTTGGTTGAAGGGAGTACAATGAACAGGCTACTCTTCATCCCTTTTGGGGGATGGAGTCAGACGGAGTATGGTAGTTGGACCAGCTTGAGGATGACCTCCAATTCCCAGCGCCAAGAGGTCATGCTCAATGGTCACCACCCAGAATCCCCTCTTCCAGGCCCAGCCTCCCTCTCATCCTGGGAGAACTGGCCAAGACCTGGTGAAGACAAAATAGAGCAAGCATCATTAAAAACTTACTGGCTGCCAGCCAGAGCCCGGGAGGGGGAAAGAGAAAGAGAGAAGCTAGAGAGCATCTGTGTCTGTGTGCTTAGGACGGGAGTGGGAAGCCGCGTCAGCTGGCAAGTACAGAGGCAAAGGGAGGGAAAAGGACAGAGGCTGATCACATTCAGAGACAGCACATGGAGATGTACTTAGCAGACTGGCACTGAGCCTGGCACGGGGCTGTCAGACACTTGAGGAATCCGCAGGGCATCTCCCATAATCCCCTTCTCTTAGAAGGGTCATTGCCTAAAGTAGCAAAAACCATATGACTCAGTTGTTCAAGCTCACGTGTGTGGGGTCCTAAGTCTGAGTGACCACTCCTCCAATCCTCACATCCCACCTCACCTCTGTTTTCTGTTCCCTGCCCACTACTTGACTCTATCAAACTTCCTGATCCCACCCCTCCCAACAGAATCTCGGATTCTCCACCCCCAGCCTGTTCAGAGTCACCCGCTTTCCTCCCTTTAGTCCCCCGGGGCCTCCACACCTGGGAGCACTGGACAAGCGTGTGCCCTTGATGATGAGGATGGTGCCCACGAGGAAACCCAGCAGGCCGAAGGCCAGACCCAGGGCGCAGACCAGGGTCTCTGTGGTGTCGGGCCGTGGGGCAGTCACCAAAGGCTCTGAGAGAGACAAGAAGTGTCAGGGGGCAGGCAAAGGGACTCTAGAGGACAGCAGACACGGGTTTGTGAAGGGTGGGCTGGGAGGGCCTCCGTACCCCAGTGCAAGAAGAGGGGCTCTTCCAGGCCCCAGTGCTCCACTTTGCAGTCATAGAAGTCGTCTGCAGAGGGCACAAAGGTCAGGTAGTGGAACTTCCGGAATGTATGGTCAGGCTGGGAATAGAAGCTGGTCTGGACCACCCCCTTGGTGATCGAGTGACCATTGCGCAGCCAGGTGATGTTGATCACAGGGGGGAAGATGTTGTCCACCATGCAAACGAGGACATTGGGCTGGCCCAGCTCCACTCGAGACTTGGGGAGTACGGTCACCCTTGGAGGCACTAGAAGAAAGAGGGTCTGAATCCCAAAGGCTCGCCCTGCAGCGGGGCCTCAGCAGGGCCGGAACTGGGAACAGTTGCTCTGATTGGTCATCTGTGGGCAGGGGATGCTCTAGGAGGGTAAGGATGGGAGACAAGGATGGGGGGGAAGAGGAGGCAGAGGATCCTATGTCTGACAGGTGCCTTGGGTGGGGGGTGATCCAGGTGACAAGGGTTATTCCTCAGATGAGGGTGCTGAAGGGGTTGAGAGAGATGGGGACTGAGCACAACAATCCGGGGCACTAAGAGCTGTGCACCAGAGTGGATAGAGGCCAGTGAAGTGGGGGAGAGACTTCCCTGGGCCTGCTCTGCCTGATAGCGTGGGAGGCAAGGGAAGGGACAGGTACCTGTGGTGGCTCTGGTACGGTTGGAACGTTCCACCAACATGTCCAGATGGGCTTTGATAATGTCGATGCTTCTGAACCCATTCATTGGGTCAAAGTAGGTGAAGTTGCTAAACTCGGGCAGACGCCACACAGCCTCCCTGTTCTTCAGCTCCACAGAGAACAGCTGTTCCCCATCAAATTCATAGGCAAACTGACCCGAGGCATCATAAGACTGGTAGAAGGCTGGTCCATAGGAGCCCATGTGGTCAGCTGTATCAGGTACAGTCAGGGTCAGGGAAAGAGAGGGAAAGCACATCAGTCTCATTCCCGACATGAACTCTCTTGTCTCTGAGCCTATGTCCATCCTGCTTCTGCGAGGGACAGAGTCCAGTTCTGGCACTGCGCTGGCCCTTGGAGGCTGGAAGACTCGCCGGGTTTGGAAGGGGTTGATGGAGGAAGAAGGCATGGGCCCGGCACCCTGGCTCTTAGCGACACAGCTGGGAAGAGAGGCTGCCATAAAACATGCTTGGGGTTCCCCAAGTTAAATCCTGTCTGTGGTCATCTGCTCCTGCTGTGCTATGAGGTCCTGTGTGTGAGATGAGGGCTTGTGTGGGGTGGAATGAGGAGGAAAGGATTCAGGATAGGCGGTAGGTGAAACACAGAGCCAGCATGGGTGAGTGTGAGGGAGAACAGGCCCCAGCTGGCAGGAGTGCACCATGGAGACCACAGGGATAGAAAAAGGGAGACTCAGGGCCCTCCCTGGTGGCATAGCCGGTTAAAGCACAGCACTATGAAGCTGTCCACAGCCACTACAGCATAAGTTCAATCCCCATCCAGGGAGCTGACCCACATGGCATGGCAGACCTCTCCTGACCCTCCCACTGCTCCCCTCAGCAGTGTATTTCAATAGATCTGGCTGTTCTGCTCCCCACTCTGTCTCTGGTGAATCCTCTCACCCCTGCACCTCTGGCCTATACCCCAGTTCTTGTAGGCATAAACAAATAAATCTTTTAAAGAAAGAAAGAAAAAGGTAGACCCAAGTGTGGCAGGGAGCACTAGAAAAGAGTCAGAAGTTCACAGTCTGTGTCCCAATCCTTCTATCTTTGAGCTAATTATGAATCAAAGTGTTTCTTCCCATAACTAAAGCGTGGTTTTGGCAGTTAGGGGTTAGGTTTTCATTGGTAAGATTCCTTTAGAAAGTTAAGAAATCACGCGCTCAGGGGGCACTCCCTGGTGGCTCAGCGGGTTGGAGTGCAGCACTGTGAACCTCAGCCAAGCCAAGCCAAGCCTGGCCGCACCACAGACCTCTCCTGACCTGCCCGCTGCTCCCCTCAGCAGTGTACTTTGTCGATCTGCCTCTTCTGCTCCCCACTCTCGCTGCCCCTACACCTCTGCCTTGTACCCTATTTCTGTATGCATAAATATTTAAAAATCTTAAAAAAAGAAATGTTTAGAAAGAAAGAAATCACTCGTTCAGTAGGTGCTGCATGTGCACAGAGACACACCAGGCTCCATGAAATAGAGACCAATCAGCTGAGGCCCCTCACCAGAAGCTCACATTCCAGAGCAGGATAAAGACAGTTTATCCTGACAGGTACCGATGGGCCTGGTGATCAATACACCACCAGAACTAGACTTGAAAGGGCACGCTGGGGCCAGGAAGGGGTAGAGAAATCAGGGTGCCGGACAGAGTAGAATGGAGACTCTGGTGGCAGGAAGGAGGAATGGGGAGGCCCCCGAGCCTGAAGTAGGCCCAGCGTGACCTTGGCATGACAGGCCTGAGTACACTTGTATTCCAGGTCCAGAACAGACATGATCAAAGTGAGAGGTACCCAGATTGAGTGAGGGGGGTGTGGAAGAGGGGGGAATGTAGAGAAAGAGAGACACAATTCATGTTCTGTTCCTGTAAATCCGGCTCCCCAAACCTCTCCTCACCCGGTGTCCCCGGCACTCACCCCTGATGGCCCCAACTTCCTGGGGGTTCAGAAGGGTCATCAAGGTGTGGAGGCCCAGGACCAGGGCCCCGTTGAGGATCATGGCCCTCGGGTGCTTTAACCAAGTGAGCCTCAGTCCATGTGGGGGTAAAGAAACAAGAAGATGTAAAGAAGAGAACAGATTCTAGCTTAGGGGAGACCCCTGCTGTATTCAGCCAATCAGAAAAAAACATTTTGAGTAATGCCACGGTTGCTGGGTAAAGAATTACAGTAGAGTGCCTGGGTGAGAAGTGAAGATTTCTTTGTGGGAACCACCTGCCGGGAGAGGCTGGTCCTCATTGAGGGGTGGGGTGGGGCGGGCAGGGGTGGGGGGAGGATGCAAAAGGAAGTTTCTGTTTGGGGAGATGGGAGGAGCTTAAGTCAACTGTTACTACATCCTGCAAGAAGGGACTCTGAAGGGAGAAAAAAGCCCTTCAGAGCTCCCAGCTGAGCTCAAACAAAAGCTCTCTACCTTGACCCAAGGTGCTGAAAATCTTACAACCCCTCTAAGTTCCTGCAGATAAATTTGGAGTTAAACACTATAATGTTACTAAGGGACATTAAAAATGAAACATTGGTGGTATGGTAGAGTAAAAATCCCTCAGATCGTTAAATGATTTTAGAAACGGATTGCTTTGTTGCATTGAGTGAGAAAAAAACATGTACTTGTTGATATTTATTGTAAAGAGGGGCTGCTTGGGTCTGTCCTGGGGACGGCACAAGGAGCTGGGTGACCTTTGTGTGTCTTTCAAGGCTCCTCTGGGTGTGCGCGCCAGCTGGGTGACCTGAATGGCCTGTGTCATCCTTGCTTTTGGCTGCTGGTTGGGCTCTGGCCAAGGAGGCTCTGGCAGAATTTAGACATCTCTATATACTGTCCAGTGTGTCACCAAATATGTCACTTGGTGATCATGAAATAAATTGCTTCATCTTGGAAGGGCTGTAAGAAATCATCTGAGTGTATGGTTCCAAATCAGGCTACAACCGGTGAATCATCTGGTGAAAATCAGCTTGTTAAGAATACTCCATGCTCCACCCTGACCCAGTGAGTCAGGGGAGCACCAGGGTCTCTGAGCTCCCTAAGAGACTCTTGGCCGGCCAACCTGGCAGAAACAGCTCTAGTGTTCTTTCTCAGTGAATAAAGGATCCCTACAGGAAGGGAAGCAGACCAAATCTCGTAACTTCCAAATAACCAAATTATAGCTAGTAATGGCACAGTTTATGGGGAACCCTGACTTTAATGTTTTTGTTTCCATTCCCCAATGTCTAGAATAATACCCAGCACATAGTGGGCAGGGCTCAAGACATTTGTCCTAGAAGCAATAGTGCTGCCCTGGTTGGGTCTGAGACCGCTTCTCTCCGGTGAGGAGAGAACTGAAACCATGGGACAATGGAACAGTAAACTGGTAAATGTGCTTCTGCCACAGAGAAATGCTAAAACCACAGTGGTTTAAGAAACCACAGTGTTATTCTTGATCTGAAGTTCTTCTCAAATTGCCTCAGAAATTTGCCCAGGCTAGTTTCCTCTTGTATCTTCACTACTCAAAGGAACGTCACTTCCTGCTTGCAGACAGGAGAGGCCTGTGGGAGGCACACCTGCTTTAGGGGTTGGGCGGGAACAAGGGTTCTCTCTGCTCACAATCTGGTGTGGGAATTAAAGGATGACGACTCTACCTAGGTGCAAGAGGGCTAGAAGCATGTAGCTTGTGAGTTCAGGAAAATGTAGTGGTTAGGTGAGTACATGATGCTGTCTTTGTCCCATCTCAACTATGCTTTTATTTATAATTATTGGTTTATTTGTACTTATTTGTAATGCCTTATTTATTTCAATATTACTGTTTTGAAAGTTTATTTAGTCTTCCTTTTTAATGTTACCTTCTCCATCTTCCCATTAACCACAGAAGGACATTAGCAAGTTTTCAGGTCCATTCATGTTCTTCCCCTGTCCCTCACAGAGGGGTTGACCAATTTTACTTCCAATTTCTTTTTAGCACCTCCTGAAAGTTTCTCTCTTATTGGAATACTTGCTCCAAAAACATTTTAATGAGGGTATTTGTATGACATATCTCTGAAGCTTTCTATGCTTGATAAATACTTTTATTATACCATCACTTTCAGATAAGGTTTGGTTGAGTATTACATTTTATGTGTATTTTTTCTCTTTAATATTTTAAATAATGCCTTTTTGCATCCTGCATTACAGTTCAGAAATCTATTACCAGTCTCTCTGGAATTTTATAATTTTCTCATTATCTTTGATATCTTAAGTGTCATTATATAGTACCCAAATTGAAAGTTTCTTTCTCCTGCTGTGGGACATTAGGGGTCCTCTCTCTTTTTTAATTATGGGAATTCACCTCTTTTTCTAGAACTCATCCATTTTGAGACACTTTACTCCTCCATCTTGTATATATTTCTTCTCTCTTTTCAATTTCTTTACCCTTCCATCCTTTATCCTAGGAGAGTTCTAAAATGTGATCCTCCATTAACTAATTTATTTTACAGCTCTCTCTCTGCCACCACCTATCCTATTAATGTGGGTCTGATTTTTACTATTCTATATTTTCACACTTAGGACTTATCTATAATTCCCCCCTGTATTTGCTGTGTTTTTCATATGTTAATAGCTTCTCTTATTTTTTTTTCAATTGTGTTTTTTGTGGTTGTCTTAAGTGACTGGTCTATTTTCTAATACCTTTTTTTTAAAGATTTATTTATTTATGATACAGAACTGGGGTACAGGCCAGAGGTGCAGGGGTGGTGAGAGGATTCACCAGAGACAGTGGGGAGCAGAACAGACCAACTGATGAAGTACACTGCTGAGGGGAGCAGCAGGCAAGTCAAGAGAGGTCTGTGCCATGTGATCACCTCCGGGACACGTGGGAATCGAACTCATGCGGAAACGAACTCATGCGGAATCGAACTCATGCGGAATCGAACTCATGCGGAAGTGGCTTTGGCTTCTCAGTGCTGTGCTTTAACCCACTGCACCACCGAGGAGGGCCCCTCCAGTACTGATTTAGAGTGGGAACCAGCAGCATGGGCTAATTAACCCTGGCAGGAAGCAGGTCTCTCATTATTTTCTTGGAATATTTATGTATTAACTAAATTGCCTCCTAAATAGAACGGGTAAGGCTGGTAGTTTACCAAATCCTTGTTACACAATCTGCCCTCTAGCTAACAGAGTATTAAATTTAATGTTAGAACAGTATCAAATACATGCTTGCCAAACAAACAGATGATAACAAATAAAAGTAAATAAAGTGAATAGCCAGTGGTTCTAGAGGGAGACGTTCCAATACCTGGAACAAAGGCAGACTCAAAAGAGATTGAGTAAATATCTACTCACTGAATGGGCATATATTCAATATCTTTAAATTGTCTAAAATGCTCATTTTGAGATAATTGTAGCTGTGTCCATCATGTTCTCTGGAGGATAAGCTGAGGTGGTGTGAGGAGGTACTCTTCATTAATAGGCACTTACTGAAGACCCACTCTGTGCTAGACACTGTAGGGGAACATGACACAAGCTATGCAATCTCTATCGACTGACATATTCTGGATAGAGACGGAAGTGCTCTGAAAAATCAGAATTTCCATGCTAACTTATGTTATGACCTCCCTTTTTTGTAATATCAAAATATTCTAAGCAACCATCAGCTTACAGCCAGATTGCCTTAGCTTCATAAGGTGCTGCCTCGCTCAGGTGAGCAAGCCCTGCCCAAGGCAGGAAATTCCTCTAGAAAGCAAAAAATATTATTACAACTGGCTGATTAATAAAAACAATTATAACAAAATCAATATTGTAAGACAAGGCAGTACTAGAGCAAATAATTAAAGTTCTTTTACTGCCGGGACGAGAATCCAAATCTTATCTCTTACCTAAAACTTTTATTGCTCAGTCTTTAATGAGGAATCTTACTATCTCTCTTAGTGATTTATCTACCAGAAAATTCCTCCAGCCTAGTCTTCAACTTTACTGTACCCTTTTTCACAACTTCTCCTTGGCCGGCGACCTCACCTTATCCCCCTTCACATCTCCAGCCCAGCCTCCACCCTAGTCCTCAACTTTACTTTAACCTCTAAGATGTCTCAATGAGAATGAAGATCATTAAATAGCACTTAAGGTTTAAAGGGACTTTATTTTAGCCAATCAACACTGTAGTAAATATAACAATGTTAGCCTTAAATTTTATGAATTTATGTACCTATCTTAACTTTAATAGATTGATTTTAAGAATAATGAATGTTATATCTCAGCTAAAGGGCAATATGACCCTAAACTGTTCTTAGCAAAAAAAAAAAAAAGAGATGATTGTAAATCTCTCAGCCCAGTTCATGTGCTGATGTCATCCCACTGCTTGCTCCTAATGTATAAAATAAACTTCTGCTAAAAGCAGAACAGGAAGACTTGCACCCAACTCCGATTCCTGTATCTTCCTCGCTCCCCTTTCCCCTTTTTCTCCTTTTCCCCCTTTTTTAGGAATCTCCACTCACCGGTGATGCACTCCCACCTTGAGACCCTGCCTGTTCTGCCCCCCAATAATCCATGATCGGGGAACAAAGAGTCCCCGACAGGAACACATCCCTCTGCTAGGTGCATGACACCAGATGTAGTAGCTACCAGTCATGCGTGTCATACGGCCAGTTCGAATTGAGATATAACACATAAACACAGGAAATGTCAAAGACTTTATAATAATATGTAATGTATAATTACAAATATATGTGCATATAGTCTCACTGATCACTTTTACACTAATTGATTCATTGACAATACTTTGGATACGTTGGGTTTTAAGTGAATATTATTTTCACCTGTTTCTTGCTAATTTCCTATGGCGCTACTAGACAATCCGGTACTGACTATGTGAGTTCCATTATTTTTCTAGTAGGCAGTGCTGTTTGGTTGCTCCTGATGGGCCACCGGTTAGTGATTCTCTCCTTTCCCTGGATTCTTCAATTTAAGAAGCTTGCTTACAGGGGTCCAAGTTATCTCCTATGGCTATCTAGAAATTCCATCAGGGAGACCTTATTTTCTAATATTTCCATTCTGAAACTTATATATATACTCTATATAATTACCTACTTGTAATAGGTTTTTACTTCAGGCGCTATGCTAGGCTCTGGGACATAATACATAATAACATGTAATGTATAATTACAAATATATATGGATATAATCTCACTGATCACTTTTACACTAATTAATGATTCATGGACAATACTTTGAATATCTTTGGTTTTAAGTAAATATTATTTTCACCTGTTTCTTATTAATTTCCACAAATCCAAAAGCCACAATTAAACTTTTTGTTATCAATGATCTTTCAATTCTCATGGAAAGCTGAACATAGCACTGAAAATAATGTGAATAATATGGGGGGGGGGGACAGGAGAAGAAAACACTGCAAATGATGTGAGGAGGGCCAGGAGAGTTAAGAGGATTCACCAAATTGGGGAGCAGAACAAGCAGATCTACTGAGATGCACTGCTGAGGGGAGGGGAGCAGTGGTGGAGACAGGAAAGGTCTGCTGTGTCATGTGGGTCAGGTTCCTGGCCAGGGATTGAACTCATGCTACATAGCTTCATAGGGCTGAGACTTAACTCCTTGCACCACCAGGGAGACCCAAAAAAGAAAGCATATTAATGTGCAATATAAATGTTCACATGATCTTCTACCTTCTGGAGTGATTCTTTCCTTAGTAATTAAAGCTTCAAGCATACAACCAACAGAACGAGGAAAAGTAGTCTAGGGCCCTCCCTGGTGGTACAATGGAATGGGTTAAAGCACTCTACTGCGAAACTAGCTACAGCAGCTTTAGCACAAGTTCCATCCCTGGCCAGGCTGATGACCCACATGGAACGCAGACCTCTCCTGACCCGCCCGCGGCTCCCCTCAGCAGTGTACTTCATCGACTTGCCTGTTCTGCTCCCCACTCTGTATCTGGTGAATCCTCTCGGGGCCTGTGCACCTGTGGCCTGTACCCCAGTATTGCATGCTTAAATAAATAAATCTTCAGGAAAAAAAAAAAAAAGAACTAGGTCTAGTCCTCTCTCCAGAATTTCCTGGACAGAGAGGCCAAGCAAGCATGTGCTCACACGCCTGCCGGCGGATCTCCAGTCCCTGCTCTGTTTAGTCATGGGACCATCTCTCTACCTTCTGACCTGGCATCACTTTCCAGACTCTGGAGTCCTGCTGTGTTGCTGTCTTCGCTTCATCTACAATTCCCCACCCCATTCTCCTGACATCTCTAAATCCGAGAGCCCCAACCTTTATCTGCTGGAGAAAAACTGAAAACCATAAGGTAAAATCACTCATCCTTTGCATCTGTAATTAGTTTGAAATTTACACATTAAAACTCACATGTGGAAAAAAAACTTAAAAAATATGTAACCAGGCTCAATACACTCTGGAGCAACAATTCCAAATAATGGCAGGAAATCCCCTATGCCGGCCATTTAAAGGTTCAGAATGCAACTCTTCTTTCTGGTTAAAAACTAGTTTTGAAAAAAAAAAATCTCTCATTTGAGAACAGTCAAGTGCTTCAGGGTTTTACCTCCTCCCTCTCCTCCTTCCCTCTTTTTGGAATGATGACCCAGGCCACAGGGTAAACCTATTATTATGACCGTGGGAAGCTGCCTCTCTCTGGGTGGTTTTCTCTGTTCTGATGGTTCTCTGCTTCCATGTCACCATGGTCATTGCTCTCCACTTTCTCTCATCTGTAGATGTTTTGTGGTTGGTCCAACATGTGAGCAGAGTTCACCACTTTCCACGCTGATGCCCCAGAACAGAAATGCTCTACAGTGCACAATCTTTAGGTCTCTGTCAGGTGTCCCTTGATCCGGGGCCTGTGTGGTCTGGGAGGTGGCCCTTGGCTCCAGGCCAATTCTACCCTCCCCATGATCACCTACAAATCAACTTGCTAAATCCAGCTCATAAAATACTCAACTAATCAGGAATTATTTCATCAAAACATCACTTTTTTAATTTATCAGAAACTTGCTTCTTTGTAACATTTTATCTTATTGTAATAACTCACTTAAAGATTCAAATGTTCAAGCTTTTTTTTATAAACACCTTGGTATTTAATCTAAAATAATAAAAAGTACTATAAACTTGGGATTACCTCGTTAAAAAAGGTTTTAATCAGCAAAATATGGAAGATTAAAAAAACATCCTCGGGCCTCCCTAGTGGCCTAGAGATTAAGTCTCAGCACTATCACCTCTACTACTTGAGTTCAATCCCCAGCCAGGGCCGGTGACCCACAGCAGTGTACTTCACTGTGAGGGGAGCAGCAGTGTCTTACTGCAGTGCACTTCATCAGTCTGCCTGTTCTGCTCCCTGCTCTGTCTCTGGTCAATCACCCCCACACCTCAGGCCTATACCCTAGTTCTTGTATGCATAAGTAAAATAAATCTTAAAATAAATATTAATAGCAGCTTTATTTAAAGTTTGCTAAAAACTGGAAAAAGCCCAGAAGTCCTTCAACCAACTGGGTTCTACCCATATCACAGGATAGGACTTAGCAATCATCAACTATCGATACAGGCAGCATTATGAAGCTATCCGCAGCCACTGCAGCATGAGTTTGATCCCTGGCCAGGGAGCTGACACACATGGCCCAGCAGACCTCTCCTATCTTACCTGCTGCCTCCCTCAGAAGTGTATTTGAGTACATCTTCCTGTTCTGCTCCCTGCTCTGTCTCTGGTGAATCCCCTCACGCTACCCCCAACCAACACCTCTGGCCTACACCCCAGCTCTTCTATACAAAAATAAAGTAAAAGAATAAAAAGATATCCTATTAAGTGGGAGAAAATATTCACACAATATTTAACTGATTTTTATATATCCAAGATACATAAATGGATCGCTTCCTTTCTTGGTAGAACATATGTCTATTATTGTTTCTAAGTTTTTTTTTTTTTAAAGATTTATTTATACAGAGCTGGGGTACAGGCCATAGATGCGGAAGGTGAGAGGATTCACCAGAGACAGAGTGGGGAGCAGAACAGGCAAATGGACGAAGTACACTGCTGAGGGGAGCAGCGGGAGGGTCAGGAGAGGTCTGCCACGCCATGTGGATCTCCTCCTGGGCAGGTGGGAATCGAACTCATGTGGAAGTGGCTTTAGCTTCTTAGTGCAGTGCTTTAACCCGCTGCACCACCAGGAAGGGCCCTGTTTCTAAGTTTTTTAATGCTTTTGTTTCTGTAGCCCTCATTTTAACCCATGACCTCTGTAAAAGGGATAGGAAATCATCTCTGAGGCTAGCCAGCGGCAGCCATTAGAGGATCAGCTCCTGAAGGAAAGAACTGGCCACTGAGCAAGAGGGCGTCGAAGATGATTACACTCCCAGTCAGTCCATTACTGTCTTCTGCAAATAAATGTGACCCAGAGGTGACCTCAGGAATACACAAAAGAGGGATTATGAAGGGGACCCATGGGGCAACATATTCTCTGTAATTGGATGGGGCTACATTTCCTTCCTCACAGTTGCTGCCTCCGCATGAGGCAAGCAGACTCCCCAGAAGCCATCAGCCATGAGGTCCCTGGAGACTCACAAACACTTCACCCAAGGGTGGGCCAAGCTCAGCAACTGAGCAGGGAAGTTTCTGCCAACAATCTGAACAGGAATGAACAACACAGGCCAGGAGGGGAGGCCAGTCTCACTGCAGGTAGGTGATGGCGAGGACAGCAGAATCCAGAGAGGACAGAAGTGACACCCAGCGTGCTGAAGCCACTGCTTCAAGCTTTCCATACACACAAAAATTGCCCAAACAACCTATTCTCATTTTTGTCTGTGTTGCAAGTAAAATTTCCTTTGAAAACCAGCATCAAATAAGCAATAAATGCGGTAAGAAAGACATTTCAAGATTACTTTTCTAGACTGGCCAGTGTTCCCTGATTGATAAATGCACAGGAGAAACAAGCACTAGCCCATTCAAATCACAGGGGACTCATTCAGGACTGGGGCAGTTGGGTAGGAGAGGTGTGTGGCTGCCCCTCAAAGGGGCAGAAGGCCCAGGGTTCTGGGGCACAGGTGCCAGCACGAGGCAGGTCAGGATGTCTGAGCCAACCAGGACTCAGCAGACTGCTTAGCCAGCAGCAGACTGAAGCTTTCATGGTGCCCTGAGGCCTGCTCCAGCCCCTTCCTTTGCCCTCTGCTACCCGCTGAGCAGATGCAGGTGAGCTGTGAAGGAGGCAGAACCACCAGGTGAACCAAGTTATTCTGGCCACACTTCGGAGACAGAGGGGGTGACCAAACCCACCTACCACCACCTCCTTGCTCCTGACATCCATTCTCTCTCCTACCCTCAGGAAAGCTCCCCAGTATTTAGGGCTAGAGATGAGACAGCAGCTCCTTTGGGGGTTATGTGCTTCTTATTTGGCATCTGTCTTTCCAGTTGCTCCTAGTCCTGCTGTTGTTTGTTTCTGAGGTTGTCTCTGTGGTCAGAATCAGCCCGAGGTATAAACTCAAAGAGCTTCTCGGGTTTTAGGGGCATCTGTGCCTTTCTACATAGCCTCATGAAAACAGGACATGTAAGAGAAAAGCAAAGGAGGAAAGATAGGGGGCGCCGCTGTCAGTTCCCCGGACGACTCTCCCGCTAGAGGAGGCTGAGCCTGGAACCTACAAGCCTCAGGTACCTTCCAGTTCAGAATGTTCACTCTGGCAGGTTCCACCAGCCCAAGTTACCTGGGTGGGCGACACTCCTGGCCTTTCCTACTTAGCCTCTTACTAATGTTCCCTGTCATCCTCTTAAAGATCCACGGATTCTGTAGTGATGACCCCTTCATACTTGATCTGGGTAATTTCTTTCTTTCTTTCTTGTTACCCAATTTAGCTAGAAGTTTATGG